GCCCTACCCAGCAGCAGGTGACCCGGGTCTCTCTCTCACAACCAGGGAAGAAAAGCACACTGGGGGCTGCCCATTCGGACGCCCGTGCCCACCGGCGTGGCCCTGAGCCTGTCCACACTTCCATATGGAGAACTTAGTGCTGTGCTCAGTTGTGGCAGAGTCTGCATTTGGAAGCGTTTATACTGTGGAAAAACACAGTTCCTTTGGAGGCAGGCAGTGTGGTTGCCCACAGGGGTGCAGGCAGGGGTCGAGGCTCTCTCCCAACTTGGCGAGGCTTTGGGTTGTGGAGTCAGGGAGGAGCATGGCCTCAGAGCAGGCAGGCCTGCCGTCCAAGCTGACGGCGCTATCTCTGTGCAGACATCTTAGTCTCTCTGACCCTTTCCTGGCCAACAGAGGTGGGACGCTGGGCCTTACTCCTTGCCAGTTGCCACGGGCCAGCTGAAATGATGCACAGAGTAGTAGAGAACGTACGTGATGGGGCTCACAGTAGGTGCTCAGTCAATGCAGCAGTGGCACACCTAATGGGTGCTCGATAAATGCAGTCATAGTGCACACCACAGTAGGTGCTCACAAATGCCAGTGCCCCTCTCGCTCTCTCTTTCCCGCCTCCTCCTTTCCCTCGGCACTGGCCGCCACTTTTCTGGGCTGCCAGGCACAGACTCTCAGCTTAGCCCCTGCTGGCTCTCCAGCTGCCTTGCTTGTGGCCTGACCTGCGGGCTCTCCCTTCTTTGGAGCAGCTCCCGCCGGGTCCCCCAGCCCTAGGCTGAGCACACTCCAACAGGCGCCTGCCCTCATGACGCTCACCGCCTGGGGGGCAGGCAGAATGGCTAGTTTCCCTAGGGGGCTGGGGTGACAGGGACCTTGACCGGGCTGCGGAGGGGCTTGCCGGCTCAAGTCTGGAGGGAGGCAAGAGTCAGCCTGGCCGGGAGGGCTCCAGGTGGAGGGGCAGCCCGTGCGAAGGTCCTGTGCCAGCAGGGTGGCCGCGTCCTGGGCTCTGGAGTGAGGGATCCACGAATGCTGCCCTGAGGGCGAGACGGTACTGCCCTGCGGGAGGTCAGGTGGGGCCAGGCTGTGTGGCCTCCTGGAGACTCCTATCCTAGGGCCAGGGAGCCGTGGGGAAGGTTTGGAGCAGGCCTTGGCGGCGAGCTGCCCTGGTGTGAGGCCCTCCACCCACGGCTTGGCCAGGCCGGAGCTGTGTCTTCTAGAGTCCGAGGTGACGACCCGTTCTCCCAGGTGAAGCTGGGGCTTCTGGGTTGAGTGCATACTCTCACGTTTGCAGAAGGCAGAAATGCTGCCATTAGGATCCTGTGTCTGGTTCTTCATGCTTCTTTGAGGTCTGGCCGGGAGGCCCTAGAGGCCCGTGGGTGGCTGTCCTTCCATGCGCCACCCTGCCTTTGCCCCGGCTTCTGTGTGTTGGGTTGGCCTCTGCCCACTGGCTAGGGCCTCTGTTGCGAGGCCCATAACTCGACTCTTCTTCCCCTCTGGAGGGTGGACGTCGGGATCAGGGAGTCGGCAGGTGTGGCTTCTTCCAAGGCCCCCGTGGGCGTGCAGACGCCGGCCTCCTCCTCGGGTCCTCTCATGGCTGTCCTCTGGTCTGTATCTTGACCTGATCCCCTCGTCCTGTGGGACCCCGTCAGGCAGGGCTAGGTCCCACTCGTGGCCTCAGCTAACTTCACTGCCTCTCGGGAGACCCGACTGCAGCTTCAGTTGCATTCTGAGGTCCTGGGGGTCCCTGTGAACTTCGGGGGACACAGTTCAGCCCCCAACAGTCCCGGGACAGCTTAGGGCCAGATCAGAAGCCACATGGGCCCCTTGTCCTGACTTAAACGCGGCCATCGTGGGGTGATGAATGGCCTGTACCCCCATGGCCTGTGTCCACCCCTTGTCCCACCACGGCCCCTGTTAGAGGTGGCTGGGCCTCTCCGTGTCTGGGCTTGGTTCTCGTCTCTGATCGGGGCACCCTTTCTGTCCCCAAGAGGGGGTTCCATGCTGAGCATCAGAGCTGGTGACCTCGCGCCCTGCTGGACTCGCAAGCCTTCTTTCTCTGAAGCCCAGGGCTGGCTCTCTGCCATCCCCGAGCCTTGGTGAGGAGTGGTCAGCTGTTCCTGGTGGAAGTGTGTGAGCCTGGGGATGCCAGGGACAGCAGGCCACGTGCCCTGTTCCCAGGTCCCTAGTTGATGGATACTGCGTCCTCCAGGGAGATCTCGGAGAGCTCTGACACATGAGGGTCCGACACCATCTGGGACCCGCGGACCCAGGAGACAGGGAGGGGGTGGGTCACCCACGGACGCTTCTGATCCAGAATTGCTGGAATCGACAGTGAGCCCAGTCAGCCAGAGCATGCCCACACAGGACCAGCCTCACACCCCAGTGTCAGCCACGCGAGGGCGACTCCCTGCAGTGCCACGCAAACAGGTTGCCGCACATTCTCGTTGAAACGGCTCATTCCAGGGCCCCTCTGTTTTTACTTATTTATTGAGTCGGGGTCTCCCTCTGTCACCCAGGCTGGAGCTGGAGGGCCGTGGCACTGGTCATGGCCCTCCCCCACTGGGCTGTGAGGCACCCTCAGGCCACCAGGGTGCTTGGGGATTTGTGTTCTCTACCAGGCAGGGGCTCCTGGCATGCGAGGACGGGACTCAGAGGCTCCGACTCTGGCCCGCGCAGGCTCAGGACCTGCTTGGGAAGCAGATGGGTGGACAGAGAGAGGGGACAAGGCCTGGGTGCAAACAAGAGGCTGGGACAGAAAGAGGAAGGCAGGGCTGAAGGCAAGCCCCGTACCTCACTGTGGTCACCATCTCATGCGTGGAAAGTCACGCCAATCGAAAAAGAGCCACAGTCCTCTGACCCTCGACTTCTCAGCCCAGCCCACCGCCATCCATTCTTCTGGTAACTCCCAGCGTGCCTCAATCATACATGAATGAGCTGGGTGAGGTGGTATGCGCCTATAGTCCCGGCTACTTGGGAGGTCAAGGAGGGAGGATCACTTGAGGTCAGAATTGGAGACCAGCCTGGGCAACAAAGTGAGACCTCATCTCTACAAAAAATAAAAAATCAAAAAGCTTAACTGGGTGTGGTGGTGTGTGCCTGCAGTCTCAACTACTCAGGAGGCAAGAGGATTGCTTGAGGCCAGGAGTTGGAGACCAGCCTGGGCAACAAAGTGCGACACTGTCTCTACAAAAAATAAAACATTAGCCAGGCATGACGACACACACCTGAAGTCCCAGCTACTTGGGAGGCAGGAGTGGGGGCTCACTTGAGCCCAGAAGTTCAAGGCTGTGGTGAGCTGTGATCACCGGCCTTCCCTGCCCGAGGGGTGTTGCTGGCTTCAGATTGCCCAGGTCACCACAGAGCAGTGCTAGCCTTGCCTGGAGAACCCCGGGTCTTTCTGGATCGCACGACGGTCCCCAGAGGCTGAGACCCTGGAGAACTCTGGAGAGAACCACCTGGGAATCGAGCGAAAATGAAAGTAGCAAGGAATTGGGTCAGACCCAGAGAACCACTTATTTTATTTTTATTTATGTATTTTGTTTTCTGAGTCGGGGTCTCGGTCTGTCATCTGGGCTGGAGTGCAGTGGTGCAATGGCTGTTCACCACAGCCTCTACCTCCTGGGCCCAGGCGATCCTCCCACCTCAGCCTCCCAGATAGTGAGGACTACAGGCCTGTGCCACTAAGCCCAGCTCGTTTTTAGTTTTTGTAGAGACAGGGCCTCGCTTTGTGGCCCAGGCTGGTCTCCAACTCCTGGGCTCAAGAGGTCCTTTCTCCTGGGCCTCCCAGAGTGCTGGAACTACAGGTGTGAGCCGCGGCACCTGCCTGAGGAACCGTTTCTTGACTGAAATGGGGAGGAAGGGCCCCAGGACCCTGCAGGGATGCTGAGGCCATGTCAGAGGGGGCTGGGGCAGCTGCTGTGGGCTGTGGGCCTGCGGGAGGAGAGAGCCTGGCAGGAGCTGAGTGGAGGCTTGCTGTCAGTGTAGAAGTGGCCCCGCGTGGTCGGGCAAGTCCTTGTGTCTCTGACTTGGGTGGTTTGTTTGTTCCACAAATGTGTGTCAAGCTCCTGCGCTTTGCTAGGACCTCTCCCGGAAACTGAGACGAGCTTTGAAACAGGAAGTGTGCGTGACGATAGATATGTAAACCCGACTTTGTTCTTTCTGTGGGTTTCAGCCAGAGGGGAGCCTCCCTGCCTCGGGCGTCCCCAGTTGCGAGCACCTCTGACGCGCAGGGCGGAGCCGGCGGGCGCCCCAGCTGAGGCCTGGCCCAGGGTTTGTGTGAGAACGGGCGCGTCTCAGGTTCTCAGCCCTTCCTGGCCTTCGCTTGGAAACCATGACCGCCCTTGAGGAGGGGGAGAAGGGTGTGCCAGCAGGGTGGGGACAGACAGGGTACAGAGCCTCACCTGCCTGGGCAGGGGCTCTGGGGAAGCCCACAGGCCTCGCTGGCAGCTGGGAAGGTTTCCGGGACGTGTCTCATCGGGGTATAAGATGCTGCGTGGAGATGACAGTCACGAGGAAGGTCACAGTCCCTAGACACGAGAGGCTGTCCCATAGGGACGGTCAGAGGCAGCGGTGAAGGAGCCCGGGCCAGAGCCTTACTGAGGTCTGAGGCCTCCAGGGAAGGAACGGAGCGGCAGGGCCAGCAGGGGACATGGGTTGGGGACTGGCTAGTTTGAGTGATTGTGGTCGGCTCCCAGGCACAGGGACTCCCTCTGGCTGCCCGGAACCTCGGTCCTGGGATTATTAGGGGGAGGACAGTGGCCTGCCGGGAAGGGGGCTGGGGGACTGGGATGACATGGGCGTGGGGGGTGGGGAGCAGCCTGTTGGGGAGGGCACTTGGGGTGAATTTCTGGAATAGGCCTGTGGGAGGGGTGTTCACATCCGAGCCCCAGATGTCAGCGCGTTGAGAGCAGGACAGTGCCGGAAGGCCACAGGCCGGCGTGGGACATGGCTGGGGCGGGGCTCTGGGCCTGGCCCACCACGTGCTGCCGCCCTCACTCCCCCCATCTCCCCAGGGTGAAGCAGTCGGAGCTGTTCGACAGGTGGCGGCGCCTCCAGGTGTGCGAGTGGGCGCCAGACATCTCTGCAGCCAACCAGTTCAAGTACCTACGATGCGCCGGCCTCCCTGCTCCCCACACCCCACCCCGTGGCCTCCCCCGGGCCTTCTTTCTTTTCGAGTCAGGGTCCCACTCTGCCACCCAGGCTGGAGTGCACTGGCACAATCACTTTCACCTGTCCTCAACCTCCTGGGCTCAGGTGATCCTTCCACCTCAGTCTCCCAAGTTGCTGGGGCTATAGGTGCACGCCACCACGCCTGACTCATTTCTTGAGATGTGGAGAGAGGGTCTTGCTGTGTTGCCCAGGATCCTCCTGTCTCAGCCTCCCAGAGTGCTAGGATTATAGGCGTGGGCCACTGCACTGACCAGGAGCCTTCTGTTTTAAATAATGAACTCCAGAAAGCTTCTTCTGGAATGGGGCTCTGCTTGGTGCAGGATGCCAGCCAATCTCGGCCACCATCCCCTCGCCCCAGCTTGGCTTCTAAGTGATTGAAGCGGCATGTCTCTGTCCACTGTGTGGGTCCCTGTCTCGTGGCCCTGTCAGATGAGGTGGGCACCTGGAGGGTCTGACAGGAGGCCGCGAGCTCCAGGCCCAGCCCGGGCTCCAGGGGCTTCCGGCCAGGGGTGGAGAAATGAAGGGACACAGAGGGTTCCAGCACAGGAGGAAGCCTGGGCTCTGACGGGGGCTGGAGCCAGCCCTGGGCACCCAGTCGTCGGACGCTCATGCCACAGACATTGGGTGGGACTCGCAGAGGCAGGATCCTACGTCCAAGGCTGTGGTGCATGTGTGTGAGGGGGTCGCAGGTACGGGGGGGAGGCCACCGGCGTGCCGGCTGGTGGAGGCGAGCGTGGTCCGTGGGGACGGGAGCGTCTGGGGGCCTCGCCGAGACACCCAGCCTGGGTCCCAAGCGGACAGCGCAGGAGAGGCAGAAAAGCCCGGCCCCGGGAGGGGTGGTGACGGGACGGAGCCTGGCAGGGGACACATGGGTGGGGGCGGCCTCTGTGCAGCTCTGCTCTGCTCCCCGCGTCACCTGTCTCTCCCACCCGGCAGGGCCACTCTGTCCAGGTGCTGCAACGCCCCCACCTTCCTCTTCACCACCCAGAAGAACACGCCCCTGGGCACGAAGCTCAAGTATGAGGTGGACACCAGCGGCATCTACCCCATCCACCAGGAGATCTTCCGCATGTTCCCCAAGGTGAGGCCTTGGGCAGGGCGGCCTGGCGACGTGGCCCGTGTGCCAGGGCTCCCGCGGCCGCCTGCCTCGGGCTCTGCTCCCTGCACCAGCCGCCTTGGGTCCGGCAGACCCCGCTCGGGGTTCCTCGGGGGTTCTGTCTGGGCACCACGAATGCCAACTGGCAGTCACTGGGGTGACTTTTGGCAAGAAAGTGGTTACGGAGCCTGGACACTGCGTTGTCGGCAGCCGTCTGGGAGTGACGAGGCAAGCGTCCCCACCCGAGGCAGGCGCAAGAATGGCCAGCCACGCAGGTGGCCGTCTGCCCATCGTGGGCCCTGGCTCTGATGGTTTGGACTGCACACAGGTCTGGCTGCTCGTCACAGGGCACCTAAAATAACAGAGACTTAAACAAGAGAGACGTTTATTTTTTGCCGTTTACGTAAGAGAATTCTAGGAGTGGACTGCTCAGGGCAGACCCGGGGGTTTCCTGCTCATAGACACCACAGAACAGTGAAACAGTGACCCCCGTGCTGTCCCAACTCCTGTACCTGCTGTCATTCAGCTGACCCCGCAGAGGGTCCACCGCCCCCCCTCAGAGGAGGGCCCAGGGCTTGCACCGTGAGTGACTCTCATGGTTCCTGGGGGCACCAGTGGACGGCCTCTGAGAAGGAGGAAGGCTGCATAGGTATGTCCACAACCACATCCTGAAGAACCCTGGGACCGGGTGGCACTTAGTGGGCCTAGCCTCTAGAAAGGCTGCTGGGGGCGGGTGGGATCTTTCCAGACGAAATTCTCCGGGGGTGTCCGTGAAACAAGACCAGCACTCCCTGCGTCCTGTCCCGCTACCAGAGTGGGCGGACTGGGACTTCCCAGGGCCCAGGGAGGAGTGGAACCAGGAGGGGCCCACATGCCCCAGTGCAGGCTAGAGGGTGGTGCCTACCGCCTTTGTAGGTGGGCCTGGTGGGGCTGGGGCAGCAGTAGCACCCATTGGTGCGACACAGCCTGCAGGACATGCGGGCCAAGGAATGCCAGGGCACAGATGGCCGTGGCCAGAGGCATCGAGCAGGGGCCCCCCGGCGTTCTCTGGACAGCGCCAGAGGGTAACTGCCTGCAGCTCTGCTGTCACTCGGCCTCGGCCACTGCGCTCCCCTCTGTGGCTTTAGCTCAAGGGCCCAAGACGGGAGGGAGCACCCCAGGGGGGCTGTGTCCCAGCACACGCTCGGTCTTGCTGGATGCTGAAATCAGGACTGTATACAGCTTCCCTGGATTCAAAATATCCCTCCTTGAGGCGTTTCCCGCCATTTAAAAACGTAAGCTCCGCTGAAGGGGCTGGGCAGTTTGGGGCTAATTTAAATGATCCAGACCCCCGCTTTTCACGCTGGGTATCTACAGACAGTGCTTGGAAACGTGACCTCAGATGACGTCAGTGATCTAACTTGTTGCTGTGTAAGTGACCGTCGGCAAACAGAAGCCAGAAGGAGTGAAGGGAAGGGGTCTCGGGGCATAACAGAACTGAGATCAGATGGGCAGAGCCGGTCCCGACTCTCCTGCAGTGTAAATGCTGCCGGGTCACATCTCTTTAAATCCACAAACAGCATTTGACGGTGTTGCCAGTCACCAGCCTGGTAACTTGGAGCACGTTGTGGCTCACGGTCCCAGGCCCTGCCGTACACAGGGTGATACTAGAAAACACACATACGACGTCTGTTCCCAGCTGTGGCCATGCAGAGACAGCGGAGGCCCAGGGTGACTGCGAGCTGTGGGTTGTCGGTCCCTGGGCTAGAGCCTGAGACTGGAACAGCATTTCCTGAACTCCCCAAAGGCAGATCTTTCTGCGGGTTTGTAAAAAACTCGGCATCTCAGCCTCCTTTCCCCACCCCGGGGATTCTGCCTCCCTGGTGCTGGGAGGGAGTCCAGAAACTTCTGTCTTCTGAAGTATCCCAGGGGTTCTCAAGTGTGGAAGCTTGGGGATACAGCACACGGCTGGGATTCTTCCCCAGATGATCTTGGTTCTTCCCTTACTCTGGTGACTGTCCCCACCGCTGTGTGTCCTTGCCCGTCCCCAGGCCTGTCCCCTCAGGGCAAATGGGCCTGGATGAGGACAGTCCCCACAGATGGGCCCTTGGGATACAGCCCAATTCCAGATGGTCCCGGGGCGCTGAGGTTCCACAGACCCCCCACAGCTGGTCCTGCTGGAAGCCTGGCTGCGGGGGGTCTCTGGTGCAGCTGGCTGGGAAGCTGTGCGCTCGCGGGAGAGCCGCTCGCGGGAGAGCCGCCTACCTGTTCCAGGGCACCGGGGACAGGAGGGCCCGTGGGGCCCGAGGGTCTGTGAGGTGGGGCACCGTCCTCCTACTCCCCCGCAAGGCTGCCTGCGGCAGGGTTCACAGGGAGGGGCTGAGGGGGAGGACGGGCTCTGACGCCGTGCTGCCCTTAGGACATGCCCTACGACCGGTCCCAGTTCAAGAAGTGCGCGGTGGTGGGCAACGGAGGCATCTTGAGGAACAGCCGCTGCGGGCGGGAGATCAACAGCGCCGACTTCGTCTTCCGGTAGGAGAAGCTGCCCCCGCCCCGCTTCTGCAGGAGAATCCCCGGCCGCACCTGCCCCTGACCTCGCAGCCCCTCCTCCGTGCTCCCCCATGAGAATCCCGGCCGCACCTGCCCTTGACCCCACGGCCCCTTCTCCTTGCTCCCCACCACGTGCGCCCCCCGCACCTTAACTTTGCCCCTCGAGCCGTCAACTCCCGCACCCCACCCGCTGTGTGTGTCTCTCCCTGGCTCCCGCCCGTCCTTTGGGCAGTCGTTGAACTCCAAGTCCTCCGTGCCCATCTGGACAAGGAGCCAAGGGCGTCACAGAGGAGGCAGCTCGAGGACTCCAGGCTGGAGACCCTGCCAGGACCCTCTGGGCACCGTCCCCCAGCGGAGGCTGCCCTTCTAGGCGGTGGGCACCCTTGTGGAGCACACTGGCATGGGCCTCAGCCGTGCGTTCTCAAGCTGGAGGCCAGGCCTCCTTGTCTGTTTCTTCCCGGCACAAAGCCCCTCTAGTCCCTCCGAGAGCCTCACTCGAGCCGAGCCTGGGTCAAGAAGGCACACCGATACTAAGCGCTCTGGCCAGGTGTGGTGGCTCATGCCTGTTGTAGTCCCAGCACTTGGGGGGCTGAGTGGGAGGATCACTTGAGGCGAAGAGTTCAAGACCAGCCTGGGCAGCTTGGGAGACCTCATCTCAATTAAAAAAAAATCAAAACATTAGCTGGGTGCAGCGGTGCATGCCTGTAGACTCAGCTACTCAGGAGGTTGAGGCAGAAGGATCGCCTGAGCCCAAGAGGTCGAGGCTGCGCGGAGCCATGACCTTGCCACCGCGCTGCAGCCTGGGCCACAGAGCAAGACCCTCCAACTAAAAAAATAAGTCAGTGAACATAGAAGCGCAAAGCAGAGAGCCTGGGCTGAGTCCACAGTGGGATCCCACGGGCCATGGACCCAGTGGGCCGCTCAGAAGTGGTGGCAGGGAGCCGGGAGGGCGGTGTGACTGGAGGTCCTCACGCAAAGGGGGTCCTGCAGATCTGGGGCTCTTAGCCTCTGACCCTGGCCTCTGTTTCCAGAAGCAGGAAGCTTAGATGCCGGCTCCAGGCTTGGGAGAGGTCCACCTCCCTCTGCGGCCCAGTGTCTGCTTACCTGCTCCTTGGGGGTGCCCAGTTGAGTCCAGGGTCAGGGTTGAGAGCCTTCCTTTGCCACGGTCACCGGCCCTGGCCGAGTCCTCAGCCTTTAGCCTGTAGGTAGTCTTCTAGGGAGGGGCCGGGTCTTGGGGACCCCTGAACTTCAGCCCAGGCTCCACCATCGCCAGACATGTGACCTCAGGAAAGGCGTCTCGCCCTCTGGTCTGTAGTTTCCTCGTCTGCAGAATTGGGGTGATGATCGCAGCCTCCTCAGCGTTCAGGATTCACTGGCGTCCCCCTGGGCATTCTAAGCACCTCCTGTGAGCAGTTGATGCATGAGTTCCTGATACACGTCGGCTGTGCCACTTCTAGCCGGTCCCCTCTGCCAGCTCCCACGTGCCCGTCCGAGCTAAGCTCAAGGGTCACCACCTCCCTCCCTGGTCACCCCTGCACACGCCCTTCTCTGGGCTCCCGTGAGCCAGGTGCCCCCACTCCCACCCCGTAGCCGGGGGTCTGCGGGTGGTTCATCCCTGAAGACCAGCCATGCTGGGAGTTCTCGAGACGCGACTGCCTGTCACCTGTCAGGGCCTAGGCTCCAGAAAGCAAGTCTGCAGTGAAGGAACAAAGGCGTGGATGAGAGAACAGACTAGTGTGGGCCTTAGCTATGCCGTAGGCAGGACAGCGCCTCAGTCTGGGGGCTCCGACTCCAGGCGGCCTGGAAGGACCTGGGCGCTGTGCCACCCAGATGAGCTACCCCTCTGCCCTGCCCTGTCTCCTGACATGCAGAAGAGGGTGAGGGCGGGCCCGGCCCCTCGGGGCTTATGTGTGGATTGGATGAGTTCACATGTGGGAAGACTTCTGACAATGTGGGCACGTGCTACATTACAGGAAGAAACGTTACCTTTTAGTATTATTCTTATTGTGTAGGTTAAAAAATGTTAGGTGTCAACACTCCTTGCCAGAGTCATGGGCCAGTCACAGAAACTGGGTGCAGTCCTGGCCTGGCATTCTTTCGGCACCCCCCCATCTCTCCCACTGGGTAATGTGACAGGGACTTCCCTCACCGGCTGGACCCTCATCCCAGCCCCCGACGACTGTGGTGGCACGCGGGTGTCTGAACTGCTTTGGAGACGCTGTGTGCCCTCCCCGTGTTGGGGTCACCACTGTCACAGCAGTGCAGCTATGGCAGCCGTGGAGAGTGACAACGGTGTGTCCACCAAGTCCCGCGTGTCCTCCTGAAGGGTCTCGTGTGGGGAGAAGCCCTGAGCTTGGAGCCGGACAGGTGCACTCTCCACCCTGCCCTGACTCCTCACCAGGAGCAAGACCCTCGGCCTCTCGAGACGCCTGGCTTCTCACCTGCAGCCCAGGGAGCCAAACACACCCCATGGGGTCACTACGCCCAAGACCTGCCCCTGGGGTGACTGATGTCCAAGACCCTCCCCTGGGGTGACTGATGCCTGACTTTCCCCTGGGGTGACTGACGTCCAAGACTTGCCCCTGGGATACTGAGGTCTCCTGTGATCCGTGAACGTTTCCGGAATGTCAGAGGTGCTCAGAACATTGTCTGCAGACAACCTCCCCACCCCATGTTTAAGGAGAGCATAAACCCCGCCTTCCACAGTGTGGAAGACAGGTGTGTTTGATGGTCTCCGGGCCCTCCACGGAGGGGCTGTGTTCTCCAGTACGTTCCGCCTTGAAGCCACAGCTTCCCTGCTACAGGGCCAGGCCCCTCACGTGGCCCAGCCCTTTGAAGTGTGGCCTCTTCTCCCTCTGTCCTGGTACTCCAGTCACTCCTGGGTGCTTCCAGTTCCCTTCTGCCACAGGGTCTTTGCATAAGACCTCACATTCACCCAGTTCACATCAGCTCATTTCCGAAGCTTATTATTGATCCGCTTGTTATGCACTATTGGCTGTGAAGGACATTTGTGCTACGTATACACGCACGAAGCAAAACAAGTCTCTGTAAAGCAACCATGCGATTTGAGAGGCCTGATGCCTGCCTGGAGCTGGTGCTGCCATCGTGGGCTCCTTCCCCTTCTGCCTCCATTTCCTCCCAGAAGCCATCACTTCCCTTCATTCTGAATTTGATCTCTGTCCACCGTTAGACATCGTTTCACCACACGCAGGCATGCCCCTGAGTCACCAGTTGCCACTTCTTGCGTGGTTGGGCTGTATTAGTGTTTTTTTTGCTGCTATAACAAAGTACCACGAGATGCATGGCTTTAAGCCAGGAGTCCTCCGGGGCTACGGCTGGGGTATCTGTGCTGCTGCCTTTCTGGAGGCTCCTGGCTGAGTGCGTGTCCTCCTGCTGCCCTCCAGGCTGCCTGCATGCCTGGCTTGTGGCCCATTGGAGCCGCAGGGAGCATTCCCCCGTCTTGTTCTCTGCCTCAGATTCCGGCGTCACGTCCTGTCTTCCCTCTCCTTGGTGGTCGTGTCACTCCCTGCAAAGACCTTTTTTTTTCTCTTGAGTCTGGCTCTCACTCTGTTGCCCAGGTTGGTGTGCAGTGACACAGTCGGGGCTCACCACAGCCTCGACCTCCTGGGCTCGACTGATCCTTCTGCCTCAGCCTCCCGCATAGCCGAGACTACAGGCAGGAGCCACTACACCCAGCTAACTTTCATTTTTTTAGAGCGAGGTCTTGCTATGTTGTCCAGGCTAATCTTGAACTCCCGGGCTCAGGCTGTCCTCTGGCTGGCCTCCCAAGTGGTGGGAAGACAAGCACGAGCCCTCATGCCCGGCCTCGCATTTCTTTGTTGTTATTACCATTTTAATTTTTAGCACCTGCCACTTCCGCAGAACTCACAGCCTCACGCGCTGCACCTCTGACTGTCCCCACGTCGACTAAGCCCTCCTCCCACTGGCGGCTCCCTCGCACTTCCTCCTCATGACCTCAGCTCCAGAGTGCTTCCCCAGGGAAGTCTTTTTTTTCCCCCCCAGGGAAGTCTTGACTCCCCAGCAAAGGGGCTGCTCCCCTGCCATCCGTCCCAAGGGGTCCCACCCTCCCCAGATCTGGGGACTACCTGGGCTCGTCACTCCGTGTTATGGCTGGTGGTGTCTGCCCTATGACAGGAACGCCAGGAGGACCAGGGGCTGGGCGTTTGCCGTCCCAGGGCCCAGCGCGGAGCAGAAGGGCCTCCGTCTCAACCAGGCCACAGAGGTCCCGCCCAGCGGCCGGCCCGCATGCCCCGCCCATGCAACCCCCCTCCTCCGCTCCCCTCGCCCCTGGGTTCAGCCTGCACAGTGACCGGCCCCTGTGGTCAGGCCGCCCTATCTCTTCTGCAGGTGCAATCTGCCCCCGATCTCTGAGAAGTACACCGTGGATGTGGGGGTGAAGACAGACGTGGTCACCGTGAACCCCAGCATCATCACGGAGAGGTCAGTGCTCGCTTTCCGGGGCTGTGCCGCCCAGTGTGGTGGCCCTGTCACTTGCAGGCACTGGAGTGTGGGTGGCCCAGATAGAGTCACAGGACACACCGGGTTCAAAGGCTCAACACGAGAACTGGGTGTCACGTGTCTCGTTAACTTTTATACGAACTGCACGTTGAAATGACCATATGTTCAGTGTAGCGGGTTAAATGAAACAATGAGGTTCGGTGGCTCAGCCTGTCACTCCAGCACTTTGGGAGGCCGAGGCGTGTTGCCTGAGCCCGCGGGTCTGAGGCCAGCCCGGGCAACTTGGCAAGACCTAGTCGCTACAATTAAAAAAAAAATTAACCGGGTGTGGTAGTGCATGCCTGTAGTTCCGGCTACTTGGAAGGCTGAGGTGGAAGGATCGTCAGAGCCCACTGGATTGATGCTGGGGTGGCCGTGAGTGTGCCACTGTACTCCAGCCTGGGCGACGGAGTGAGACTCCAACTAAAACAAACAAACAAACAAAAAGCACACAAACACTTGCCTCACCATTTCCTTCCACCTGTTGACACGTGTGTACCAGTACGCTGACCACAACACTTGTGGCCACATGACTCCTTTTAGATGGGGCCAGTCTCGTCGGCCATCCTGTGGGGAAGGGTTGAGGACTTCCAAGTGTGTGACTGGGGCTGGCCGACCATCCCTACCTGGCTGTGTCCAGGCGGCTCAGGAGAAGCTCACCCAGAGAGCTCAGTCCTTACCTGGCTGCCTCCTCGGTCTGTCTGGGAGATTCCAGGGGAGGTGTTGAGACCCAGCCTCGGGCAGTCATACCATCCAGGTCAGAGGAGGGGAGAGGAGGGGACAGTGGGAGATGGGTGTCAACTTGAGTCAGATACCCAGAGAACAGCTGTTTAAGGGCTGGGAAGAGGAGCAGAGTAAGCAAAGTCACCTGTGAAGGACTCAGAGGGGTGACAGGGCTGGCAGGAAAGGCTGCTTGATGTGAAAAGATGGGGTGAGTGCGGGGCTCATGCTTGCGGTCCCAGCACCATGAGAGGCCGAGGCAGGAGGGTCACTGGGGCCAGCGGTTCGAGACCAGCCTGGACAATGTAGTGAGGCCTTGCATCTATAATAAATTAAAAATTTTTAAAAAGTGGCCGGGCATGCCTGTAGTCCAGGGTACTCAGGAGGCTGAGGCAGGGATCGCTTGAGCTCAGGAGTCTGTGGTTGCAGTGAGCTGTGGCTGCACCGCTGCACTCCAGCCTGGTGACAGAGTGAGACTCCATCTCTGTAAAAAAACAAAAATGAAAGCATGTGTGAGATAAGCTGAGGCTGCCGGAGAGGTGGGGGCTAGCCAGGCCTGGCAGCTGTATCTGGGCCGACCCAGGGTGTCCTGGGACCACAGTACAGGTAAGGGCTGGGGGTCCTCTGGAACAAGCCTCACCCCCACCCCCCACTTCCCCACAAGCCTGCCCTGGGCCCCTCATCTTCTTGGGTCAAGCACGGCCCTCTCCTTGCAGCCACACACTCGCTGCTTGTCCCTTTGGGCCCTCACTATCCTCTTAGACTGGGTGTGGTGGCTCACGCCTGTAACCCCAGCACATGAGGAGGCCAAGGCGGGAGGATCGCTGGAGCCCAGAGTTCCAGACTAGCCTGGGCAACATGGTGAGGTCTTGTCTCCACCAAAAATTTATTTTAAATTAGCCAAGCATGGTGGCATGCACCTGTAGTCCAGCTACGTGGGAGGCTCAGGAGGGAGAATGGCCTGAGCCCAGGGGCCGAGGCTGCGGGGAGCCGTGATTGAGCCCCTGCACTCCTGCCTGGATATCGCAGGGAGACGCCGTCCGCAGGAACAACAGAGGAGGACAAAAACTGCCCGGGAAGGGCTGCTCCTCCAGCCGCTCGGGGCGGGTGCACGGAGGCAGGGGTCCGCGGGGGGGGCGCACGCGCCGACCTCTGGCTGCCCGCAGGTTCCACCGGCTGGAGAAGTGGCGGCGGCCCTTCTACCGCGCGCTGCAGGCCTACGAGAACGCGTCGGTGCTGCTGCCCGCCTTCTACAACACGCGCAACACGGACGTGGCGGTCCGCGTCAAGTACGCGCTGGACGACTTCGAGTCGCCGCAGGCCGTGTACTTCTTCCACCCGCAGTACCTGGCCAACGTGTCGCGCCACTGGCTGAGCCTGGGCGTGCGCGCCAAGCGCGTGAGCACCGGCCTCATCCTGGCCACGGCGGCGCTGGAGCTGTGCCGGGAGGTGCACCTCTTCGGCTTCTGGGCCTTCCCCATGAGCCCGGCCGGCCGGCACATCACGCACCACTACTACGACAACGTCAAGCCGCGCCCCGGCTTC